TATTCTTGTTTTCGGCCGGGTACGCCATACAAAAAATAAGACGTATCCGATACGGCCGGAAATAAGAAAAACTGATAGACTGTTTTTTATATGTAAAATTGGGTGAAATTAAAAGTTTTTTTTTTAATTTCAATAGCGTAACATTAGTGAACAGTTCTAGATAGAGCTGGAATTAGGGCGTAACAGCTTTTATAAACAATGGCTTCTATCGATGATTTCTAGGAATTCAAGGCACGCCCACGCAGACCAACATAACCATCGGATAGGGAAAGTCCTTCCCTAGAAATCATCAAGAGAAGTCATTGTTTACAAAAGTTGTTAGGCCTTAATTCCAGCTCTATCCAGAGTTATGCCAATTTTCATGGAAATTGAAGACGGTGGTTTCAGAAATTATGTTTTTTTTTTTTAATTTAAACTGATGATTTTAGTGCTTTTGTTTTCGGAAATCAACTTAATGTGTTCAGTAAAATATTAATCTCCGTTGAGGAAGTGAAGAAATTAGTAAAACTTTTATAACCAACATTTATAAATCCACGTACATTGATTGAAATGAATCTTAAATGTAATCTATCCATTTGCATTCTATTTTTCAATGTTGCTTGATTTTGTTCCAAGATAATGCTTTAAGTTGCATCACTTTTTAACTGGACAATTTATGAATCTATCTTTTTGTACATCTGATTTCTATGTAGTATTAACTGTAGGATTTCTCATTTTTTTATGCACTTCGAGCACACACGTGAAATACCTTATGGTCTTAAAATCCGTTGTTGCGTGCACCCTTCGTGCGACGCCACACCTACTAATATATCTCATGGATGCAGCGGCGCCGCGTTGGAGCTGACAGAGGCATAATGGCCATACGGAGCTGTCAATTCGGCGGTGAAAGAAGAAAGTGCAGATCATTGTGGAAGAAAGCTGACAATAGTGTAACACGCGTCTTTAAAAACTACAATTTACTGTTTAATTTACCTAAAATAGCGCATACAATTACCTTAAAACTACTTAAACTAGTGGCTTAGCGTACGGTAGGCAGTTTACTCACACAATAATGAAATAATGAAAATAACTAACATTGAAACGAAACATTGCTATACGTAGGAGGATTTAATTGTTATACGTACAACTGCACATTGAGTCCGCTCTATAATTCGATAATCATCGAGGAAGTTGAGGTAAAAATAATTGAATTAACCTAGCTTAAACCTAATTTTCCTAATTCACTAAAAATATACAGAAAGATTACGTCTCTGAATACCGTTACGAAGATCCGGCTTACAAATCGGAAACCCTCACAAACGTAAGAAAACATTATATTTCTAAATTATTGTTCCTCACAATTTTGTATACTTATAGGGAAATTTTAACCGTTTCACCCAAATATACGAGTTAAAATTACGGAAAAGTGTTTCCCTTTCGTTGCATACGCAACATCCGTCAAAAACTAACGTTCTCTGCACGATTAGGAGACCCGGAAGCTGGAAGATCGACACATCGTATATTTCCCCTCACCGCTCTCTCAATCTAACAGAAACTATTTCTCAATCGGTTGCGGCCTAGGAGCTTTATCAAAGTGTTAGTTTGTTTACTAATATGAACTATGCCCATTTTGTTATGGCAAGTTTTGCTATAAGAAATGCTTCTCGTGTTTATTAGCAAAATTCACATCAAAGGTTGATTAATTGTGTAGGAAATCAGTTTGACACGGCATTTGTGACCAGCAGTCGTATGAAACAGGTAAAAAAATGTCAAAATCCGCCCATAAAATTGAGCTCCTGCCCACCTGTGATAAAACCATCTCGGGTTGTGGCGGGCTTCTCGAAATCATCACCAACAATCAAGATGGGAATATGTATAGGTGGTCAAGAACTCACGGTCCGCTTGTGTTGGCGAGTTATTTGCCGTTAAGGTTCATGAATAGTTCACTTTCCAAAACAAAAAAGGTTTCCAAAACAAATAAAGTTTACGGGTAGATTTGGATCTGCTTCATATCACCAGAAGGTGTATGTTGGTCACAAATGCCTTGCCAAATTAATTTCCTATACAAGTGATCAATATTTGATCTGAATTTAGCGAATAAACACGATGAGCATTTCTTATTGCAAAACTTGCCACACGAAATGGTCATAGTTCATTTTAGTAAACAAACTAACACTTATTCCTACTGTATCGAGATGTTTTTATGACAGGTGGGCAGGAACTCACGGTCTCCTAGTGTTGGTGAGTTCTTTGCCGTTAATGTTCAACGAAAAGTTCACTATTTTGCCATACAGAAATTCAGAACAAAATTTTTTATGGGCGGATTTGAACAGTTGTTGACCTGTTTCATACGACCGAAAGGTGTATGCTGGTCACAAATGGCGTGCCAAACTGATTTCCTACGCAATTAATCGACCTTTGATGTGAATTTCGCTAATAGACACGAGGAGCATTTCTTATAGCAAAACTTGCCATAACAAAATGGGCATAGTTCATTTTAGTAAACAAATTAGCACTTCTTCCTACTGTGTCACCTTTCTATTCCCCGCCAAGGGTGGCGCCAACTGGGATTGAACCCAGGCCTGCTGGGGTGAGTGATAATCACGCTTACCACTACACCACCGACGCCACTAATTTCAAAAGCTTGTTCTTATTCTTACTTGCACAGATGTAGCTCTCGAAGGGTGCATGAATGTAAATTCAATCTTGAATTATTATATTTATTTTAAATGTGTTTCTTTTTTGTTCAACTCTAAATATATGCAGTACTCTCGAGTTCTCAAATGTAAATGCTTGATTCCTACTTTGAAAATAGATCACTTCACTTCATTATTATTAATTTTTCTTTATCGAGAAATAAGCAATAATTAATAATAAAGATTTTTTTTATAACTGTGCAATCTTTTTTTGTTAACTACCTACATATGATTCCTAAATTCCCGGGCAACACGAGAAAAGGGCCAATGATTGTTGATCGATTCTCTTCGTCAATTTTCTCTTTCGCGAATAACCCGACTGCAAATGAATTTCCCATTCAGTGTGTTATTTCAGGCGCGAGCTTAGCGAGAAATTCGTTTATGTTGCCGTGGTAAACCAAAGAGAAACTCGATGAAGAGAATCGATCAACGAGGATAGGCCCTTTTCAAATGTTACGCGAGAATTAGCTTTGTATAATAAGCGCTCGAAACAGATCGCAACAACTTGCGATCTCCTTTTTAGCGTTCACTGAGCCGACCCAACCTAATATCAGCACAAGTGTAAACACTGTAAAACAAGTGTAAAGTAAATTCTAGCAGGTCGAACTCGGTCTCAATTTTGACGTATAACCATGGCGAATTTATAGAAGAGCATGTGTAAACCTCGAAGTAAACGAATCAACATTGAAAAAACGCTCTGTAATGAATCAACAAAATATTTTGTTGTTTTTTAATACAATGCCTTGGTTTGTTTCTGTTCATTAAAAAGTTTTTAAATTAATAGAGCGCTCCATTCACTTTAAATATATAAATTTTATTGAATTGCATCATTAATGCGATTGATTTAAATAAACGATATTTGGTTTGTAACAATTATATATTTTTTCAATCGAAATGGTTACTTTGATTGTTTTAACTGAATATTTTTTAAGTGCACGTTTCAAACTGTGAGTCTGTGTCAGCATCGTTTGGCAAACGAAAAGAGGTTCCTCCTGCCTTTGCCTTCGTTATTATTGCTCTAAAAATGTAAGCCATAATTTTATTAAATTGTGTAGATTATTTCAAATTATTATCAAATTAATTCATGTAATTACAATTTCAGCGGTGACGTGAAAAAATCGCAGTAAACACGCAATACCATACAATTGTTACAAATTTTGTTCGTTATCCTTTTCATATTTGAATGATATGATTGAATTTGATTCCGACTCGAAGAATGCTTTTTATGCGACCAAACGTATTGTTCGAAATTTTCTAAAAACCTGAATTGACATAGAATATGTAAGGGAATTTGTTTTTTATTGATTTACATAAATTTGATATTGATACAATAAAAAAAAATATGAATCGCTACAACTAAAACTTTTCGTTGCTTTAAAAAAAAATGCTGCAGGTTGATTCAAGTAAACATTTTTTGAATCAATAAAAATCGATGTTTAATTCAATAAAACTGGTGACATTATTTAAATTCTATATTTTTATTGTTTTACTCTATGGATTTTATTGATCTATATTCTATTCAAAATTTTGTTTGAAATGAATCGTGCTTTATTTGAATGAACTATGTTTTTTTTCTAAGTGTTGTACAGGCATTTCAACGTAATAAATTAAATTGAAAATCGGATAAAACAGTAACTGTTGTTCATTGAGAACAAGTTCGCAGTCCAAGGGGCTCAATTTAAAGCCACAACTTTCTACGAGCACCTAAGACCATAACACCTGTCTTTTGGCGATTGTTGCGTCCAATTCGGCTCAGTGGTTGCCGATAAACATGAGTTCCAATATTTTGTTACAGTCACACATAGACATTTTCCGTTCTCGTTGAGTTGAGTTGATTGGTATATGAAATTCGACCCTCTGGGCCGCCGATCGAATGTCGTTTTTTCCTAGCGGCATTAATACTCAAACAGGCGATTCGAAATGCTGTTCTCAGTTTTCACATAAGTTTCCATTCTTATATGAAAGAAGCCCATCGCAAACGCTACCTCGCGTCGAGCACTGAGCATTGAGAACTACCTCTAACTGGAAATGTTGGTCTCATTCCTGCTTTACTCACACTTCCAAGTAGACCTGTTTCTGATTGGTAATGTGGGTATGTTTTCAAACTTCATGAATAACGGCACTTGCTGCTTCTCTGTTGCACTCCCTCGCACGTATATCTCCGTCCAGCTCCTACCGAAACGTGTTCCAACTCCCGCTCTCACTCGCACGGTCGATTCCAATATGACTCTCTCGCCCATTCCTTCGCACATTGCACCACACAACAAACACAACTTTCGGTCGTTGCTCAGTGTTGCTCGGCTCGGCTCAGTGCTCCGCGTGCAATCGAGACGAGTTCAGTTCGAGTCGGCAGCGAGAGTGAACGCGTTTCTCGGTTTTATCTTCCGTTCTTCTGTTCCCATTCGCACTGTAGACTATTCAGTAATAATAGTATTTTTGAAATAGTATACTCTTCCAAACTATACACACTCTTCGGGGATTATTAGTAGCAAGGTCGAGTTTAAAAACGAGTGAGTGCGATTTCCTGCGAAGAAGAAAGAGCGAGACGGAAGCGAATAAAAAGGGTTCTTGTTGAAAAACTGCTCTCGGTTCGGGTGTTTTGTGTTGTTTAGTTCATTCAACGATTGCTTAGGTTCGTTCCGTAGTGTTGTTTTTTTTTCCATTGTGCAATTTTGTGTTTTTGTTTTTGCCGTCGCGGGAAAGAAACAATCGACCTTGGGAGCTGATTTCATGAAGAGAGAAAGGAACAAGAAGCGATAGTCAAAAGTGAATGCAGTCACTGGTGTTGATTAAATTTTCATACAGGACATGACAAAAAACAGAAAGTTTTGGTGCTAGATTTGTTCTATTTGAATTACTGCTTGACTGAAAATCCGAAGATTTTTCATTGACTGTGGCAAATTTCGGCGATTGTCAGTGACGAATGCAGTCTGATTCGTGGGTTTTAAGCAATGTAAAAGTGCAGATTTTTCACTCATTTTTTGTTCGCCTCGATTCGATTTCGATTCCTTTACACCGCGCACCAATACAGTGACATCGAGGAAGGCGAGGTGAAACGAATGTTATAACAACAACAACAATGGGAAGGTGTTTGTGGAATAAGAAATAAGCAAAAAAGAGAGACCATCCTGCTTGGAGGTCGTGGCTGGCGAAAGAAAGGTCCAACAAAGCAACCAAGAATCAAGCAACGAGGAGTGAGTGGCCCCCAAAACAGCCTTCTTTGATCCAATGTTGTGCAAATCGCGTGAACGTGTGAAAGGAAGCTGATTGGAAGAAAGAAGAGAGTGCCGAGAGTCATAGCAGCATAATCGGCGATCGTGTTGTTTTATTTATTTTTTTTCTGCGCTTTCTGTGCACACACACTCCCTTTCTAACTCTCCTGATGATGGCGATGATGGTTCTTACCTGTATCGAGATGCAGCAGTGAGTGTTTTCCGATGCAGTAGTGGTAGTAGACGAGAAGCAACAGCACAGTCGACCAGTGTCAATAAACTCTGGTGCGCTCGTCGTCTTCATCGTCGTCGTCGTCGTCGTAGTCACTGCTGAATGCGAGAGGAAAGGCAGGCAAAAATCACAAAACTCTTTGGATAAAAGTTGAAACCCTTGGGACCAAGAAGTAAGTTTTGCGAGAGTAGTTGGAACATTTTTTTCTTCATTTTTATCTTGAGACTTTTGCTGCTCACTTCACTGGTTACGGGTTTTGATTTCTCCTTTATTTTCGAGCAGTGGACTGGATTAGCGTGCAGTGGCCAACGAGGAATTCGTAAAACAAGACAGATAGCAGTGACTTTGACCTGAAAATTTTGTCGTAAGGCTTAGGTTTAAAATAATAATAATTATTAAGGATTGTGTTCGAGACACGACCGCGTTATTGACGTAGGTAGGACTGAAAGGTTACATTTGTAAGAATCTCAAGTATGTTTGTTTTTCATCTGGTGAATGGCATTCGCTGGAAGAAATTTCTTCGTCTTACTCGCATTTCAAGCTTATTGTACATCGAATATTAGCTTATTGCGTACACTCAACTTAGTGTTCTAGATGCACTTTCACAGTTATTGATTGAGAGCTTTCGATGCCTGTACCATTTTTGCATTAGTATAATTTTGTGGCAAGTACAATCATACTCTATGCCCAGGGAAGTCGAGAAATTTTTCCAACCCGAAAAATTCCTAGACCGGACCGGGAATCGAACCCAGCCACCATCAACATGGCCTTGTTTTGTAGCTGCGTCTTAACCGACAGAGCTAAGGGAGGCCCGCTGGATGAAATGCATTTGAAATGTTTCAGAATTGTGACAGACTTCTATCCTTCCATCTTTTCGAGCAGTCACGTTAGGCATGCAAAATGTTACACTAGCGGCGCTTGGTGGTGTAATTCTTAACGGAACTGTTCACCATCTAATGAGTCTTGTCCATCTGCACATCTGTGTTAAAGAAAAACAACTTTCTATCTAGTTGAACTTAAATGGTTAAAGTTGAGATAGTGTTAGTGTTTCGGTATATGTAATTGAAGACCGTGTTAGGGATTCACTATCGACTAGTCTGTCTACACTCGATATTCATAACAAACAAGCACGTGATGGGTTGGTTTTGGCCATAAAATTTGATAAATTTTTAACACCAAACTATTGATCAACAATTAAAATTTTGATACCAAATCTTACATAAAATCTGATTCAAATGGTATTTTAACAATTGGGGCCTTCCTTAGCTCAGTCGGTAAAGGCGCAGCTATAAAGAGAGACCATACTGTGATTGTACTTGCCACACAATTAAACTAATGCAAAAATGATACAGGCTTAGAAAGCTCTCAATTAACAACTATGGAAGTGCTCAAAGAACACTAAATTGAGGGTCGGCATAAAGTTCCATTAGGGACGAAATAATTCCAAACATGAAGGCTGTCCATATACCACGTAGACAGTTTTTAGGTGGAAGGCGTTGTCCATGATCTTTACTTTTTTTTAATTGTATGGAAGTTTGTCCACGCTGGCGGAGGAGGTGTTCTAAAATTTCTATAAAACTGTCCACGTGGATTGCAAACAGCCCCTAATTATATGTTGTTTACAAAAAATAGACACACAATAGGCAGAGTTTCGAACAAAAACTTTGGTTAGAATTATTTAATCACAAATATAAAATACATACTCTGATGCACTGTTCCTATCTTCAAATATGTGTCATTAATTAAGCCAAGTTTTTTTTAGCATCAATGTTTAGAATAAAGTATAAAAATAAGTTACTAGCGCAAGGTTCATCATTTGAATCGCTCTGGATTCAAATATTATTTTAAATCTCCCTAATATGGCACTTATGAATGGGTTTAAACCAGTGGTGTCGCCAGGCATGGACAATCATTTGCATTCATTTCATACGTTCATTTACATTCATTTGTCGCTAACTTTTTTCATCAACAGCATTCCGCAAAATGATGTGTAGAGCTTTTATAGGTTTTGTAATTAGCCACAAGTTTAGCTAATAACTCAAATCTGTATCTCTTATGCATCACGAACTAGAGCGGGCAGAACTTGTTACTGTTTTACAGTGAATGTAAAATACATTCACTGAAAACAGTAGTGGCTTCTGTTCGCTCTGCTTCATCATGCATAAGAGATACGGATTTGATTTGTTCACAAAAGTTGTAGCTAATAACAAAACCTAAAAAAGCTCTATACATTATTTTGCGGAAAGCTGTTGAAAAAAAAAAGAGTTATAAGCAAATGAATGTAAATTAATGCACGAAATGAATGCAAATATTTTCCATGCCTGCCTGGGTGTCGCCTTTACCTCAATCTACCTGTTCAACAACTATCAAAATTTAAATAAATTAAAAAAAATGCTCCTAATGGATACGAATCATTGAAACTAGAAGACCCTGTGCCTATTGAAACTGATTTGAATGTAAGCATGACCCTAAATAACGTTTTCAAATAACGGTTGAACAGGTAAAAAGTGAGGTTACGCGACGCCACTGGTTTAAACTGGTTAAGAGTGTACTTTTCTAAAGACTCCGATAAATTTTCTACACGACCTTTAAAAACCTGGAAAACCAGTAATCCTCAGGGAATTTTTAAATTAAATATTACGAAAATTAATATTCAAGACGTCGGATATTGAGTATTTTCAAAGAACCCAGATTTTATTCTTAATAAGGGGCTTCCAAAAATTTCACAGCTTATGGACTTCGATGAATGAATTTGATGATAATTTCCAAGGAACTCCAAGGGATTGGGGAATTCAGGGGAAAATTCCAAGGGACGAATTTGTTGAAAAAAATGTGATTCCCTTCATGTTAGTGTTGTTGAACTTCAAATTCCAGGTGAAACGTAAAGAGGATTCCAAGGTAGTTCTGAGTAGAATCCCAAGAGGATCATGAGAAAGATTGAAAGTAAATTTCCAACAAAATTCTTATGATGATTCCAAGATAATTCCAAAGAGAAATTGTAAAATAATTTTGAGGATAATTCTAAGACTCTAAGGTTCTTGTGAGTAGAAGAGAATCCAATGGGGATTCTGATGAGAATTCAATGCAAATTCTGAGGATCATTCCAAATGAATTCTAAGAAAAGTTTTAATGAATTAATTTCAACACATTTTATGATTGCACTTTATCTTCCTCGTTATTCACTAAGTAAGGGATATAATAAGTGGAGTGGAGGGGATTTATTTTTAGTAAAAACATACATTCTAAAACCTGAATTGTTTTTTTGTGTTTCTGAAACATGGATTTGAAAAAAGAAAACTTGTAAGTTTTTTTTTTAAATCCTGTACCCAATAAAATCAAACTTTGAGAAATTTTCAAGAATCTAGAACGAAAATAAACATTCCAGGCGTCGGACATTGAATATTTTAAAAGAAAAATTTTTTTAAAGGGAGGGTGACCCCAGCGTAGTGGTTAAGATCCATACGCCAAAGTCACGAGTTCAAATCTCACCCCGGACAAGTCACAAATAACCTAAGAGCGTTAAAGTGACTATAAAAAAAAACGATTTTTTTTAAAGGAACTTGCAAGAGTTTCCCTAGTTATGGACTAAAGTAAACGTATAGATTAATGAATTTAACGAAAATTTGCAAGGCATTCGGAATTTAGAGGAGCATTCCAATAGAATAATTATTAGGAAAACTTGAAGTGATATTTGATGATTCCTTTCGTGCTAGTTTTGTTGAACTCCAGATTCCAGGTGAAACGTAAGGATAATTCAAAAGTAGTTCTGAGTAGAGTCCCAAGATAATCATGAGTGGGATTCAAAATAAATTTTCACTATAATTCTGATGAAGATTTCAAAGTTATTCCAAAGAGAATTCCAAGAAAGTTCTGATGAAAATTGCAAAGTAATTTTGATGCGAATTCTAAGAAATTTGTAAGGAGAACATCATGGTTCTTGTGAGTAGAAGATAATCCATCGGGAATTCGTATAAGAATACAATGCAAATTCCGAGGATAATTCCAACGGAATTCTAAGGAAAGTTTCAAGGAATTAATTTCAAAACATTTTACAATACAACCAACTTTATCTTGCTCGTTTTTCACTGAGTAAGAAACATAATAATTCTGAGGTGGATTTACCTTCAGTAAAAATATACATTCTAAAACCTGAATTGTTTTCTTGGGTTAGAAAACAAAATTTGGACCCTGTACCCAATAAAATCATGCTTAGAGAAATTTTCAAGAATCTGGATCGAATACATTCAAGATGTCGGTTATTTAATATTAAAAAAATCTTTTTAAAGGAACTTAAAACTTAAGAACTTAAGCAAAAGTTTCACAGCTTATAAACTTTAATGAATAAATGTTATGAGAATTTCAAAGGAACTCGAAATTCAGACAATAACTCCCAAGGAAGAATTATTAGGAAAACGGGATATGATAGTTGAGGATTCATTTCATGTTGTTTTGTTGAACTACAAATGCCAGGTGAAACGTAAGGATAATTCCAAGGTAGGTCTGAGTAGGATTCAAAGTAAATTTCCAACAGAACTCTGCACCCCAGCAGGCCTGGGTTCAATCCCAGTCGGCGCCGCCGAGATGTTCTGAGGCATAACATCTCTGACCACGCCTTCCTTCAGAAACGAAGTAAAGCCGTTGGTCCCCGGTTCATGAGATGATGATTCCATAGGTAGGGTCCAGGTGTGGGAGCTGCCTTCCTGGCGTCGGTAGCATTGGTGCTCAGTACGGAAAACAAGATCGACGGAAAACAAATCAAGGAAAAAAAAAACAGAATTCTGAAGAGGACTTCAAAGAGAATTCTATGAAAGTTCGGAATAAAATTGCAAAATAATTTTGAGGATAATTTAAGGGATTTTAACTTCATGGATCTTGGGAGTAGAATTCCAAGAAAAGAAGGATAATCCTAAAGGAATCTTAAACAGAACTAAATGAAATTCTGAGGATTCTTTGGTTTGTTTTTTTTCCGTCGATCTTGTTTTCCGTGCTGAGCACCAATGCTACCGACGGGCCAGGACGGCAGCTCCCACACCTGGACCCTACCTATCGACCCATCAACTCATGAACCGGGGACCAACGGCTTTACTTCCCATCCGAAGGAAGGCGTGATCAGAGATGTTATGCCTCAGAACATCCCGGCGGCGCCGACTGAGATTGAACCCAGGCCTGCTG